CTGAAAATACTTGTCACTGTAAGAACTCTCATACTAATAAATGGAATTTTCTAGCCTATTTACAAAATTTCCAAAATACTTTTTTGCTTAGAAAATAGAATATCTTCCAGTTAATTGAAAACTGATTAATCTTAGGGATATAAAAAATTACTAGCTAGATTTCAATGAAAAGTTGGCATTCTTGGGGAGTTAGACTGAAAAATTAGTATCATGATTTAGCAAACAGCTAACAATGCAATTCGTCCTTTAAGATCTATGTATTTTGTTTGAGCTATGATAACCATAGAATCAAGTTTTGAAACAATTCAATTTTCACAAACTATTAAATGAAAATAACTTTTAAAATGAGAAATCATAAAGACCTGACCATCTAGCTACTTTCATTCCTTTAACTCTTGATAATTTTTTTTTTTTTTTTTGAGTTGGAGTCTCATTCTGTCACCCAGGCTGGAGTGCAGTGGCACGCTTACCACCACTGCAGCCTTGACCTGCTGGGTTCAGGTGATCCTTCCATCTCAGCCTTTCAAGTAGCTGGAACTACAGGCATGCGCCACTGTGCTGGGCTGATTTTTTGATTTGTTGTAGGGATGAGGTCTCACCAAGTTGCCCAGGCTGGTCCCATGGGCTGTGGCAATCTTCTCACCTAGGCCTCCCAAAGTGCTGGGATTATAGGTGTGAGCCACTGCACCTGGTCTGATACATTTTTTTTTTTTAAGTTGGAGTCTCACTCTGTCGCCCAGGCTGGAGTGCAGTGGCACACTCATGGCCACCGCAGCCGCCACCTGCTGGACTCAGGCAATACTTCCGCCTCAGCCTTCCAAGTAGCTGGAAATATAGGTGTGTGCTACCAAGCCTGGCTAATTTTAAAATTTTTATTGTAGAGATGAGAGCTCACCAAGTTGCCCAGGCTGGTCTTGAACCCTTGGGCTCAGGCAATCCTCTCCCTCGGCACCTCAAAGTGCTGGGATTATAGGCTTGAGCCACCGCGCCTGGCCCTGATAAAATATCTTAATGGCATTTTTTTGGTGTGAGCAAAAAGGTACTGGTATCATTAGTAAAATATTTTTAAAAGATTGCATATATTTTATCCTTTAAACATTTTCTTATGTATGCTTAAATTTTATATATTAGTAAAGTAGCTTATTGTATCACACACACATACGCTGGAGCATGGGGTTAAAATGATTCAAAAACCAAACAAAAACCAAAGCTTTGGTAAAGGTAACGTCTACAGGTGCTGCCTTTTTAGTTTTACTAATTATGATAATTTGACATGGCTCACCAATTCCCAATGACCATTTAAGCCTTAGAGATTTGAGGAGGTCAGCAGAAGTAACAAAGACAACTGAACTTAGGCTATAGTATAAAAGCTAAATGCTATTGTACATCTAAGCACAATCAAGAAATATAAACTATAAATAATATACAGGAATTTTGGTAATTTTGACTTCATTTCTCACAAAAGAATTGGTGACATTCTTCAGTAGGTATGGCTGAGTATGTTTCAATCTGGTTCTTGGTTTCTTCTAGTCTCACTTTTCTGTGACATGCCATTCTCCCACAATATTCAAAGTTGGCATATCTTTTTCTTGCATTACTTTTTTCTGACAAATTTTTGCCTCTTTAATAGCCCAAAGCTCTTCCTAAATAGTTTTTTTCTTGGTACGGGATTTTAAGGAGGCTACTCCCCTCAAACACTGTCTACAAAATTAATGCAGCTAATTAATTGTAAAAATCTTATTCACAAGAGCCTAATTTCTGCTTTTAAGTTTCATTTGTGCACAATTGCTAGTGCACACAAGTGAACAGGTGGGTGCAATGCTGCTTCTTTGTGTAGAAAGGGTAACTTCTTGGTTGGAATTTTTGGAAACGCCATACAACATTTTGTGTAACACCATTAAACGTTCCCTAATCTCAGCACTTTGGGAGGCCGAGGTGAGTGCATTGCCTAACCCCACAGGTTCGAGATCAGCCCGGGCATCTGGGCGACACCTTGTCTCTAAAACAAATAATTAGCCGGGTGTGGTAGCACGCACCTGTAGTTCCGGCTACTTGGAAGACTGAGGCAGAAGGTTCGCGGGAGCCCAGCAGGGCGACGTTGGGGTGGCTGTGAGTGAGCCACTGCACTCCAGCCTGGGCGACAGAGTGAGACTCAATCTTAAAAAAAAAAAAAAATTATCTAGTGCCCAGCTAAAAGGTTAAACTGCCCTTTCATTTGGCTTGTCTTTGTACTGTGCCATCCCCTTCTCCCCAGCCCAACACCCCTCCCATGACAATGTAATCACGGCACATGGCACATGTATAGGATTGTCATAGTATAGACTTTAATACAAGTCTATAGTAGGCTGTTTTCTAAGGTAATTTGGGCCCAATTAATATCTCTTCAGCAATCTACTCTGTGATTGGCAGTTTTAGACCTTTTTAAAGGCAATCTCATGGTTTTAAGAATGAGGTAGCCCAGTAAGGGTGAACATTATTACGTCTAAAAATCTTTTCATCTCCTATAGGAAAAGGTTCATCATTTTTACATTTCATTTTATTAATGAAACAGTATTGGAATAATTTGATTGAAAAGTGTAACATTCTTATGATCAGAACTACATATACAGAAACTGATAAAATATAAATGTAACATTTATTGCCGGACTCGATGGCTCAGCCTGTAATCCCATGCTTTGGGAGGCTGAGGTGAGTGGATTTGCCTGAGCCCGTGGGTTCGAGACCCGCCTGGGCAACTTGGCGAGCCCTCATCTCTACAACAAATAAATAAATAAAAAATTAGCCAGGCGTGGTAACGCACGCCTGTAGTTCCAGCTACTTGGAAGGCTGAGGCCGAAGGATTGCTGGAGCCCAGCAGGTCGAGGCTGTGGTGGCCGGGAGCGTGCCACTGCACTCCATCTGGGCAACAAAGTGAGACTCCCAACTCAGAAAAAAAGAAAAAAAAATATATAACATTTTTTAACCTTAAGCATTTTTATACTTTAGATGGCCGAATAGTATTAACTACACATCTGTCCTAGCAACAAAGTGCTTTAAAAAATTATCATTTAACCGAATCATGCTACATTTTCAGAAATAAGGACACAAGTTCAACAGTTTTCGACGAAACTGTTACACATATAATCTTTGTTTCCTATTCCTTCTTTAAAGGTAGGTATATTTTGGCCAGGTGTGCTGGTTCATGCCTATAATCCCAGTATTCTGGGAGGCTGAGACAGGAGGATTGCTTGGACCCAGGAGATTGAGAACATCTTGGGCAACATGGTGAAACTTGGTGTCTTAAAAAAAAAAGAAAAAAATCGTCTTCACTGTTGCTTCTAGCTGTCCCTAGAAAAATAAAACCTCCAAATTTAAATGCAACACTCCCTGTTGCCTAACATGAAAGTTACTAAGGGTATCTTTTTTTCTTTCCTAACACCTTTCAACTTCAGTGCTCTTAACATTACAGAATCCTACTTATCCTGTGCATGTTGGGGATTTGTCTAGATGCTTTTGGAAGTCACTTCCTATCAACAAACCGAGTTTTCTACCTAGTCTGCTGAGGGATCTTTGAAGATGCCTGCTTTCGAAGATACCTTGCTACACTGAAGACTTGTCTGTGAGCAAATCTGAAAACCCAAAAAAGGTGCCGTTAAGAATTGGGGTGGGGGTGGGGCAGCAACAAAACACCTTTTGAGTAAACACAATTCAAATGCATCTTGGCTGTGTCTTGGTAAAAATTAGGAATGAAGTACTCCTACCTCTCGGTGGATGCAACCTTGTTGCCAAGGCACACTGCTTAGTGCAGATAACCTGCATTCATCTTCTTGGCTATACAGATGTGCACAGCATAACCTATACAGTGGTGGTACTGCTACAATTTATAGCATTGTTCCAAGTAAACTGAAATTTAAGTGCTTTTTAAAGTACTCATGATGAAGATCTTGGGTATTATAAAAGTTCAATGTCCAATATAAAGTTTAATACCAGCACTTTGGAAGGCCGAGGCAGGACTAACTGAGCCCAGGAGTTTGAGCCTGGGCAACAGTGAGACCTTCTCTCTTAAAAAAATTAAAAAATTAGCTGGGTATGGGAGTGTGCACCTGTAGCCTCAGCTTGGGAGGCTTAAGTGGGAGGATTGGTTAAGGCCAGGAGTTTAAGGTTGTAGTGAATTTCCAGGCTGAGTGACGGAGTGAGACTCTGGATCTTAAAAATAAATAAAGTTTAACTACTGAGGAGGTTCGGATTTTGTCTTTTTCTCCTTTTAAACAGAACTAAGGCAATATGATGCGAAACAATTGTGGGGCAGAGTACCACTGCAAATTGAAGAGACTGATACTCAATGTATTCATGCAATATTCAATGGCACCAATTTTTATTGTGAAAAAATGTTATTGGTTGTAAATGCCTTACTCCTATAAGAACATACTCAAAGGCAAATGCTTTATATCCAGATACAAGTTGAAATTTTTCTTATTTCTGAGTTCTCTACTCCCCAAACTAGTGTATTGACAGATGTCATTAGATCAGGGCAATCATCATCTGTATCTCCAAACTATATCTATAGTTTAATGCCATCCTTCCTCTTTCATTTCTTAATGCCAATTAAGGGGTGAAGAGTCAATGTTGAAAAAACTATTCTCAAAGTTATTTACAGAGGAAAATAATTAAAAATAGCAGAATTATATTCCATTTGATAGCCTGGTTAAGTTTTTCCTTCTAGTTATTCCTGCATATAATCTACTCAGCGTCAAAATACTAGCATGGTCCAATGAGGCTACCCTTAAGTGTCAATATTTCTGATAATGATTGCTAGAATTCAAACATAAAAATATTTAAGCTTCAAAGGCAATGTCATGCTATCATGGGAATCTTTTTTAACTGACAATTGATATAACCAGAATCATTTAAACTTATGCTAAGTTTTTGATATTCTCAAAATTTCACTTGAAATTGGTTTTCAGTGACATAAAGCAAACTCTATTATTTTTCATTCTAATTCTCAGGAAACAATTATGAACATGTAAAATAAAGAAGCTTATTCTGTAATTTTTCTATAACAGGTATTCAGTTCTGTAGAAAATTGCAAACATCACCTTTATTGTCAACATTTACATTTGGTTCTGTAAACAAAGTTGGCAAATCCTAAGAATTTTTAGACATTTATAAAAATTTCAAGAATATGATCCTTACTGCTTCTGAAAACTATGCATTTTAAAGTCTAAAAGCCAGTAAATGTAGAAGTTGAAGGGGAAGAAAAAAACATTGACAACAGATTATTTGAATTTTCCTCTTCCCAAATATCTAAAACATTGCATATACTACTGTTTTCAGTGTAGCTTGTAAAACCCAAAAATTCTGACTTCTCTTCACTTGTCTGAAACAAGTCCAGTAAAGACTGCACTGGTGAACTACAAGTTCTGCTTTCTTCTTGTGTGATAAGAAATTCAGTCCTTTTCTTATCTAATTCAGCATTTGGTTCTAGATTTTCTTTTTTATTTCGTCCTAATAATATTTTCACTTTTCGATGGATTTTACCACAAAGTAAACTATTCACATTCTTGATGTCACATTCATTAGGTTCTTCGGGACTACTGGATGGAGTCGTTGCCTGAATTGTTAGGTGCTCTTGTGAACTGTTTATTGTTATCAAACCAGAATCATGACCAAATATTGAATGAAGGTCCTTTTCCTTCAGATCCTTTGCTGGAAAAAGCATAGTATCTGACTTTTGTTTTGGTTGAGATGCACTATTATCCGTATTGGAATTAGAAGCATGTATAGAGGTGTGTAGCCTACATGGACAGTCATCTATCCTTGGTTCTTCTAAGTCATTTTTACTTATAATTAATTTATGTTCAGAAGTGTCAGGAATGTAGTCCTGTTTATTTTTATGTGGAGGTAGCTGTGTGAAATTCTGTTTTATGTCATTTCCAGCTGGATTTAACATACAGCCTTTATCAACCATTTTCTCATTAAGTCCTCTCAATTCATTCAAAGGGTAGGCAATGGGCTCTGAAATAAACATAAACTTTTGTTCAGGTTCCTGGGTCTCTTTATACAGGAAATTCTGTTCCACCACCTGAACATTATTTTCCCTGAAGTCCTTCTGAGAAATATGCTGCAATTCTAGTTCTTCTTTTGATTCAGGCTTTTTCAGGACATTTGCAGAAGAAACAGGAGAAAGGGATCCAACGCTGTATTTTATTCTTTATAGAAAAAATAAAAAAAATAAAATTCCTTTACAACAAAGAATTCTGGGAATGAAAAACAAACAAGAAAACAAATTCCTCAGTAGTTAAAAATTAGTAAACATTTAAAAAAAATTTAAGAAGCCCATCTAACTTATAAAATATTACAAAAATACAGAAATTCTAACATCTTGACAAATTTGCTTTAGATATCTTTAAAGTAATAAAACTTTACAGATATAGCTGAAAACTCTAGTGTACCTCTGTTCTTATCCATATTCTCCTCCCTCCCAGAAATAAGCAATATTCTGAATTTGGTATTTAAAACATATTTTAATAATGTAAACCAAAGAAAGATAATAGTAAAAGTGTGTGGACTTGTCCATAATACTGTTTTCATAAGTATTTATTGAAAAATCTAAGGCAGAAATATACACTTTAAATTTATACTGAATAATAAAATATTTAACATCAAAGTGAGCTAGAAATCAGTATCTTTATACTTTTAAAGGTGGCAAAATAATAACTCTTAAATCTTGCACACATATTTCACTTAAAATTCTTTCTCCATGGAGCATCTTGATATTCCTAGGATGCCAGTTTGTATTAAACAATCTTAAATTATATACAAATAGAGGAAAGGTCACTAGTTAAGTTTTATGTTCTATATGCCACAGAGGAAAGGTTAACAGTTCACTAGTTAAGTTGTATGTTCCGCACATCACAGATAATTGAGAATATACAATTTTTTCTGACCCTTCAACCAGAATGGTTCCTTTTATATTTATTTTGTTCATACATTTGCTTGCAATTACCTCTGAATAAATGGATGACAAAAACATAAAAACACTAGTCTACTATGGCTCGTTCCTCTTAATTCAAGAAGTGTTTAGGAGAATTAACCATATAGGTAAAAATCCTAAGGATAAAAATAAGATAATTAAGGACTAACCAGCTTATAAATTACTAGTTTAGAATTCTGCTGCAGACTGACTTTTTTTTTGGGAACTGTAAGTTCTTACAGCAGCACACATATTTTAACAGTTGGAAATATGCCTCCTCTTCAAATCTGTATTATTAACCTGTAATTCATATATTATGATATCATTCTAAATGTTATGGAAATATGAAACTTAAGAACTGTTCTACCTAGATACATTTAAAAAAAAAACTTTCTAGTTAATTTTCAGAGGCTATATGTATCTTGGTATCACTTTTCTAATCTTTATGCCTTAAGATTGGTCTAAAAATAAGGACTAAATACCTATAGAACTACCACAAACTCTAGGATATATTCATATGAAAGCATTTTCTATCTTTTTTTTTTTTTGAGTTGGAGTCTCACTTGGTCGCCCAGACTGGAGTGCAGTGGCCGCTCCCGGCCACCGCAGCCTCGCCTGCTGGGCTCCGGCGATCCTTCCGCCTCAGCCTTCCAAGTAGCCGGAATTACAGGCATGAGCTACCACGCCCGGCTGATTTTTTGATTTATTGTAGAGATGAGGTCTCGCTGGCCAGGCGGGTCTCGAACCCGCGGGCTCAGGCAATCCACTCGCCTCAACCTCCCAAAGGCACAGGATTACAGGCTGAGCCACCAGCTAGCATTTCCTATCTTTATGTGGATAATCTAATCAGGATAAAGGTGCCACTGTGCAATTGCTGTACATTGAGTACACACTTAAATATCCTGTCAGCACCTTTAGTATATATTCTCAGCAAGTAAGGTTTAGGCAGAGATATTTAGTGAAATTATTTAGTATAAAGATAACTTAACAAAGGCAAGCAGTAGAAGGTTTTTTAAAATTTCTTAAAAGTTCTATAACCATTTTTAGTCTGAGATAGTAAACTTTATGGTTCTAGCCCAGTGACTGACAAACTATACAAACTGTGGGCAAAATCTAGTCTATTTTTCTAAATAAAATGGTACTGGAACACAGCCATATCCATTGTATAATAGCAAAACTGAGTAACTGCAACAGAGATCTTACGACTCACAAAACCTAACATACTAACTCTCTGGCTCTTTATAGAAAAAGTATGCCAACTCCTTTTAAACTATAATGTCAAAAGGGCTAAAAGTAATCTAAGATAAACACTTTTGGTAGCGGGGTAAAAGGGGAGGGAAGAAGTTATTGATTTTTAACCACCCTGAAAATACATATTCCTTATAAATGGCAAATTTTGGATTTATTTTTAGTTTAATAAAATAGTTTAATATTCTAATAGAACTAAATGCTTAGTTTGATGAAACTAATTACCTTTTCTTTTTAGGAGTATCCTTTTCATATTCCACAAAGTCAAAAACTAACTTAGATACAACATCATCAACAACTTGGTACTGGTTACTCTGTGCAAAGTTTCTGTGTTGCTCACTTAAAAGGTGCTAAAACAAAATTTAAAAAGCATATATCATAAAATTACATTTTAACACCAAAAGATGCCTTTTTGTTCAGGTTTTCTAACATTCTATGACCCTAAAATTAGTTTTCCAATGACTACCCCAAAGAAAATAGCTTTTACTACACTTCAAGGGATGTTAAGAAGTACAATAAAAACAACTTCTGAGAAACTAGTAAAATTACTTTAGTTTTTACAGTCTTCTATTTATCAGGGAGAAAAGTCAAGTATTACTTTGTAATTAATGAGCTATATCAGAAAATGAAGATAAAGATAAAAAAATACAAGAATAACATTTTGGAAAATACTTTTCCTCTATTACTTCACCTTTACACAATTACCACTAAGTAAATTAGGCTTATGAATGAAATAAAAATTAATTATAAGAATGTTGAATGTAAATTAAATAAACACATGAACCACATTAAATGTATGAAGCACAAAAAAAATTCATACTTGAAGAACACATTTGAGAATGAGCAAACAAATGATTTCAATTACCCCGTGCTCATAAAAGAGTACAGAAGTTATTGTCAATCTCAAGAGTGGTCAAAAATAAAAGTAGCCGGGCTCAGTGGCTCAGCCTGTAATCCCACGCCTTTGGAAGGCTGAGGTGAGTGGACTGCCTGAGCCCGCGGGTTTGAGACCCGCCTGGGCAGGCAAGACCTCATCTCTACAATAAATCAAAAAATCAGCCGAGCGTGGTAGCGCGTGCCTGTAATTCCGACTACTCGGAAGGCTGAGGCGGAAGGATCGCCGGCGCCCAGCAGGTCGAGGCTGCAGTGGCCGGGAGCGGCCACTGCACTCCAGTCTGGGCGACAGAGTGAGACTCCAACTCAAAAACAAACAAACAAACAAAAAACAAAAATAAAAGTAAACAAGTTCATCGTATATTAGGATGAAACTCACAGAAAATATAGTTCCTTTGGAATAGGCGGAATCTCTAAGCTAATTCTATCATTTGTCTGTCAGCTAATCAGGAAATTGTATCTGGTAGCTTACATCAACAAAGTATCTATGGAGGACCTCATTTCTATTTCCACAGCTTTATGTAATTTTAAAAACTGACGATTTGATTGCATTTCAAAAACTAAATTCTTCACTGGTCACACAAAAAACCCAATGCATCCTGGAATATATATGTATTCTTATTTGCAAAATTCAACACATATATGATATATGTTCAGCAATTTTAAATCCGAAAAATGATTAAAATCTGAAAGCAGTATCAGGCTGGATGCAGAAACTCACACTTGTAATCCCAGCACCCTTGGATTGCTTCAGACCAGGAGTTCAAGAGCAGCCTGGGCAAAAGTAAGCCCTATTTCTACAAACAAACAAAAAACAGGTTTGGAGTGGTGGCTCATGCCTGTAATCCTAGCACTTTGAGAGGCTGAGGTTGGAGGATTGCTTGAGGCCAGGAATTTAAGATCAGCCTGGGCAAAAAAGCAAGACACCATCTCTACAAAAACTAAGAAAAAATTATGCAGGTACTGTGGGGCTCGCCTGAAGTCTCAGCTTATTCAGGAGGCTGACATGGAGGACAGACTGGGCCCTGGAGGTTGAGGCTGCAGTGAGCCATGGCTGTGCCATTGCACTCCAGTGTGAGTGATAGAACAAAATTTTGTCTCTAAAATAAATAAATACATAAAAATAAAGTGAATAAAAGGAAACATCACATTTGTAAGTTCAGATTCAGTCCATTCACATTCTGGGAAGAAAAAAAAAATCTCAATTTTTATGTAGCTCCCTTCTATCTCCATTTAGATCTTCTTACTCATTCTTGATTAAAAGTCACTTTCTCACAATTGGGCATCCTATGTTGCTCATTCTAAGTTAAATAAACTCACTATTACCACTGTACTTTAAATTCACTTTTGTAACAATCATCACACTTGCAAATACATATTTTATACCTATCTTCTCTGCCACACCATAAGATATAAAAGGTTGGGAATATCTGCCTTGTTTGTTGCTTATATTTGTTAAATTAATCCCTTGACATAGCTAGAACTGAATCACTGCAAAATTCTAAGATGCAAAAAATAAGAGTTTATTCTTAACAACTAAGAAACATATATGAAAAACTGTAAAAACAAGATCTTAAATTTCAATCCCAGTATTTACCTTCACTAATTTTCCTTCTTTGTGGCAACGAGTGGCCAAGCTTTTTTGTTTTTTTTAACATGACATTTTCTGAGCACCAAATTAAGACTATATACTAATATCAATGAAAGCATCCATTCTAGATTATGCTATAACAGCAAAGTAAAATTTCAGGAGCAATTTGTGATTTTAATTTTTAAAATAACTTTTGGGAAGACAAAATATTTTCAAGATACTTCTGATTAAGAGCAATTTTTAACTGTTTTTCTCTTTTATTACATAATGAAACATAAAAACTGACAGAAAACACTAGCTAGTATATTTTGGCTTATAAAACAAACTTCAGTTTAGAGTCTGAAGACTAATACCTTGAAGTATTATTCTTCCTCCTCAACTTTTCCACCATCTGCTACCAAAATCAAACCAAACACCAAAACACATCTATCCACTACTTAAAACATTAACAACTCAAATATTAACAGCTAACATTAATAAGCACTTACTATGTGCCAGGCAGTGTCCGAAGTAACACAGACGAGAAGCCAGCATTTAAACTCGGGCAACCTGAATCCAAAGCCCTTATTCTATTTTATCAGCTTATAAACTATTATATTTATCATCTTTAAAACTCGATCTTCATCCCATACGCCCTTCCAACACTTCCATTTCTTTCTGCTACCTCAAATAAGTATCACTTTCTTCAGCTCTTATCTTTTTATTAGTAAATAAGAATCCCAATTTTTAATGGCTCAAGCCCAAAACACTGTAGTAATCCATGACTCATCACTGTCTCTTACTTGCAACATCCAAATCCACTGGCAAATCCTCTTGGTCCCATCTTTCAAATACTCATATGCCCCTTTTTCAGTTAGGTGTTCCTTGCCAAGTCTAAATACCAATAACTTCATTTCTGTTTTGTTTCTTCATAGCATTAATAATTTATTAAAATAAATATTCCCTCTATATATTTATTTCTTTTTAATTCTGTGGTTACCTTCTTCTATCCCCTCACTCACATCCCACAGAATGTAATCTTCACAAGGGTAGGAAATTCATCTCTCTTGTTCAGTACTACAGTAATGATCAGTATGTAGTAGGTGCTCAATAAATATTTGTTGAATTTAAGATATTTCTACCCAAAAGAAATATATACTACATATAATTAACCAAGTTGAAAACTACAAGCAGAAAAATAAATTAATATATAAAAGGCAAATATTAAGGGTTTTTGAAACATCAATCCTCTAATACAAAATCACATTTACAGTTTCAAGATCTTCATATTTCTGCAAGCAACATTCACAATATCCTTTTTTTTTCTTCTCTTTCAACTGGAGTTGAACTGAAGTTCCACCATATTTATCACCATCCGTTTGGAGTCTGATGAGAAAAGTAAAAGAACTGCTGAACCTAACGAATAATTTTTAAAATTTATTGTCTTAACCTATCATACACAGAATTTGCCATAATTTGCACAGACTTGGATCAGCAAATACTTTCAACCATTTTTTAAAAAAGAAATTAAGAAGCAAATTTAGGATTTAATGAATATTCTAGAGAATATTTCATATCATTTAAGAGAAACAACACATTTTCATTATTTACAAATATGTTAGGGCCCCCCCAACCCATCTAAAGTGCCTAAATATGACACACTTAAAACATAAGAGTCAGACTTCAAATCTGGCACAGGAATTAAAAACATACAGGAAGAAAAGTAATCAGAATAGAAACACACATTATCACCATGGCATAAAAAAAACTACTTCAAACGTTTGCTTAAAAAAAAAAGTATTTGAGATGATATTCTGAACAACATTCATTCTAAAAGTAAAGATCCAAACCAACCTTAGTTTAACCTGAGTTTGCTTTTGGATGCTTGATGGCTTATCTACATCAAATGGACTGCAGGGCTTCTGAATAGAATAATTTATAAAAGGCATATTGGTCAGCTGAAGATAAAATGGCCTATAAAATCTAAAAGAATAAAAAGACAGATACATAAGAGATTCTCCACGATGAAAGAAAACAAGTCTTAAGTTTTATATTTAAAATCATATAAATCCTCTTGAATCTGAAATAACAGAAATCAGTTAGGTTTCCCATCAAAAAAATCAATTTCTAGGCCTAATATTTTAAACATTTAAAAATAATGTTTATATTGTGAAAAATACACATAAAGTTTACTACTATCTTAATCATTTTATGTGTACAGTTCAGTTGAACTAAGTAACCACAATGTTGCAGAACCATCACCATCACCATTATCTCTAGAACTATTTTCTTTTTTGAGTTGGAGTCTCACTCTTGTCGTCCAGGCACGTTCTTGGCCACCACAGCCCTGACCTGCTGGGCTTAGGTGATCCTTCGGCTTCAGCCTTCCAAGTAGCTGGAACTACAGACCCACGCCACCACACCCGGCTAGTTTTGTGATTTATTGTAGACGAGTTCTCACCAAGTTGCCCAGGTTGGTGTCAAATCCCCAGGGCTCAGGTATCCTCTTGCCTAAGCTTCCCAAAGTGCTGAGGTTACAGGCTGACCTACCGCACCTGGCCTAGAACTATTTTCATCTTGAAAACATTGAAACTCTATACCCAAACAATAATTTCTCTTATCTCCTACATCTCCAGCCACTGACACCATTCACTCCTGGTATGAATTTGACTAATCTGAGTGCTTCATAGAAGTGGAATCATGTAGATTTTTCTTCTCATTTCACTTAGTACAACGTTCTCAATAGTCATCCTTGTTGTGGTTTTTGGTGTTATATCCAAGGAACCACTGCCAAATCCAGTGTTATGAAGCTTCTCCCATATGTTCTAAGAGTTTTATAGTTTTAGGTCTTTGATCCATTTTGAGTTAATTTTTGCAAATGATGTAAGATAAGAGTTCAACCTCATTCTTTTGCATGTGGATACCTAGTTTTCTCAACACCATTTGCTGAAAAGATTGTTTTTTCCCCATTAAATGCTCTTCATACCCTTGTTGAGAATCATTTGACCATATGTGTAATGGTTTATTTCTGGGCTATTTTATTCCATTGGCCTCTATGTCTGTCTTTATGCCAGTAACAAATTGTTCTGAATACTGTAGCTTTGTACTAAATTTTGAAACCATGAAGTGTGACACTTCCAACTTTGTTCTTTTTTTTTAAGTCAAGGTTCTCTTTGTTACCCAGGCTGGCACAATCACAGCTTACCACAGCATCTACCTCCTGGGCTGAAGGGATCAACCCTCCTCAGCCTGAGACTACAGGCATGTACCACTATGTCTGGCTACTTTTTTGTACAGATGAGGTCTTGTTATGTTGCCTAGGCTGATCTTGAACTTCTGGGCTTCTTCAGCAATTCTCCTACCTCAGTCTCCCAAAGTTTGGGATTACAGGCATGAGCCACTGCATCCAGTCTATTGTTCTTTTTTAAGATTGTGTTGGATATTTAGGTTCTGCTGAAAGATTCTATATGAATTTTAGGATGGATTTCTCTATTTCTGCATAAAACTTCATTGGGATTTTGATAGGAATTGCACTGAATCATTTTGGATGGCATTAAGATTTTAACAATATTAAATCTTCCAATTCATGAAGATAGGATATCTTTTCATTTATTGGTGTCTTTCCAAGGCCTCATTTTGAATTGCCTTTTCCACAGTAACATGTTTCATAAAAAGCTTACAATATACTTTTATCACCTCTGAGTGGGTACTCAAGAAAGTTAACCACACATGTAATTAGTAACAGGAAAATTAAGAGACAGAAATCTAATTCTCCCATGCCACACTAATTTATTTATATTTGTAGTTTCACTAAGAGTATTCTACAAACCTTCAGAGTGAGTTTAGAAGATCTACCATGTTAGGTGTCATATCCAGATTTTGTACTTCTAAATAGTATATGATAATTTCTTTTTTTTTAAATAAGTGTAACAACATTCTTTAAGTAGTTCTAAATCATTTGCTACTGCATTTAGCCAGAGAATGATTATTTGAAATACTAAAAAAAGATTTTTGACTTTTCTATTTCAGTTATTTTGAAGAGATACTGAAACTAAGTTCAGTTCATGAGCACAAATGTGTTAATGCTACTTTTTGTAACTTGTGATACACGCACATTAGTGTAGCATAAATCTAACACAAAGGAATCTAATAGTATTAATGGAGCTAGCCTAACTGGGAGATCTTATCCTTTAATACTGTACTTAAATCATATAGATTGGACTTAGATACTTACTGGTTCATATCTTCCACCTTTACAAAAGGCTTTTTTAGTCTTCCTGCTTGAGAACACAGAAAACATATTAGATACTTGTGAATCCAGGATTATTATTATTTTTTGAGACAGGGTTTTACTCTGTTGCCCAGGTTAGAAAGCAGTGGCATGATCATGGCTCACCAAAGCCTCAGATTCCTGGGCTCAAGTGATCTTTCTACCTCAGACTCTCAAGTAGCTGGACTACAGGTGTGCATCATTACACCCAACTAGTTTTTCTATTTTTTGTAGAAATGGAGGTCTCTCTTTGTTGAGCGTGCTGCTTTCGAACTCTAGGTCCCAAGCGATCCTCCCACCTTGTCCTCCCAGGGTGCTGAGATTATAGGCATGAGCTACTGCACCTGGCCCCCAATTGTTTTTAAACAAAATTACTCTGGCAAAACCCTCAAACCCAGGTATGCATCCATTTCAAAGTTTTAAACTTCATATGAGGTATTTCCACCATCACCCCATTTCCAAAAATAACAGCAGCTCTGTCTACACTCTGAGATTCTTAAACTGAAGATGCCCTGAGATGAATAGAATTCAGGAGGATCATACATTGGAACAGGAAAAAATTGTACTTTTCACTAACCTCTAACTGAAATTTAATACTTCCTCCAACTATAAATGTAAGCAATAAATCACATGGTATTAGCAGAATCTGTAACTTTGATACCAACGGAAACAACAGATATTTTCATGTCATACTAGTTATTACAGATACCTCAAAGCATTCTTTATGCTTATCAAGTCAAAATCACAGTAGCAATTAGAATCATGGCTAGAATTTTTTTTTTTTTTTTTTGGAGTCAAGGTCTCACTCCATTACTCATGGTAGAGCAGTGCAGTGGCACGATCACTGCCCACCACAGTCTCAAACACCTGGGCTCTGGTGATCCTTCTGCCTCAGTTTCCCAAGTAGCTGGGACTACAGGTATGCGCCACATGCCCAGCTAGCTTTTTTTATAGAGACAAGGTTCTGCTATGTTGCACAGGTTGATTTCACTCTTGGGCTCAAGTAATCCTCTGACCTCAACCTCCCAAAGTCCTAGTCACTTTGCCCAGCCTAGAACTTGTTTTAATGGTAATAAAAAGCAAGTACGTCACTATTATCATGAAATAAAACTATTTTGATATCTAGCTTCTATTGTAACTAATTTTCTTAGTAATCTAATGATTTTTAAAAAAATGTTTAAAAAACGTCTGAGAATAGGGGTCCATAATTAGACTACCACCAGGGGTCTAAGTTTCAAGAAAGATCAAGAAACCACTAAATACATCTCTTCATGGGTTGTTTACATAATTTTAGAGGATTTTTAAATGACTTTTTCTATTTTCCAAATGCGAGTCAAAAACATTTAAAGATATGAAAATACTTACTTCTTGTTTTTTGTACACCAACACCAACTTTTCTCCCCTAAAAAAAAAAATAGTAAAAATAATGGATTTGAAAGTACAGCGAAAACACAGCACCTGCAACTGTTCAATATCCTCAAGAGAAAAAAAATATGTAAGGATCTATATCAAAGAAGAATGATTATTGTTGCTTTGCTAAAACAAACAAACAAAAAAAACTTGCTTTTTTAAATCAACTCAGCCAAAGAAATTAAACAATGATCACTCAAGATTTAAAGGTCTTAATCACTGGTACATTTTATCGCAGTTTTACAACATACTCAACAAAAGTCTTGCATCCTAGCTATAATTGTTTTTGCCTTCATGTTTTGAAATCAACCAATAATGAAAAGGTAGTTCACGAAAGGTAATCTAAAAACAGTCACATGTTATTTTTATGCCCTTATTCAGCAAAGCCATTGGTATTAAGTTGAATATAGAAATTAGTCAATGATTTATTAGTCTGTCAGGCCATATGACAATCAATTCAACTGATTTACAAATAAAAACTCTGGACAACATGCAATAAGCAATTACCTGACAAATGAAAAGTAAAACAAGCAGGCAGACTGTGGAAGGGAGTCAAACATGGAATTGGCAGCAGTGGAAGAGCCAGCAGCTAAAACTACTATACAAAGTTCATCATCTGGCTGGGAGAATTAGGAATGAAGTTGAGCAGTCCAGAGACTACCAAGGGAAATGCTATATTATTTTCTTCTTTTTCCCCATTTTCCTGCCCTGAGGGTGAGTTCCATCAGGATACTGCAGTTGTTAATGTAGCACAAGCAGCTAAAAACAGAGAAACCCTTACTTTCTGACTAGAGGAAGTAGGAAAAAGTCAAGTGTAGGAGACCGATCCAAGAAAGGAGTAAGGGTCAGTGGGTGAGTGAAAGTCCGTCTGAGGGGAGACTTGGTTCATGCACCCAGGGCTCTCCTCCAGAAGTGACTGCAACCCCCCCACCACACTGAGATTGTAGCCGCCAGGATTCGCCTGCTGTTCGAGGACTCTCCTGAGAAAAGCCTGCCAAATACAGCTGATTCTCATCACCTGGCACCTGGCCCACACCATCACCTGTGACAGCACAGTGGCTAGAACCCCAGATCCAATCGGTAGAGAAGATTGGGAAGAGCTGGAGAGAGGGGCCCCACCACCAGTGAGGAAACACCAACTGGAGTCATTTTCTTGTCCCTGGACCAGGCAGAAACCTGTATTGCTCTGCCCAGCTCCACCCAGCCTTCAACTTGGGACCTAGAGGTAATCTCATCAAACTCAGAGACAGATGCTGCTCCCCCATGTGGGATCAGAGGTCAGATATGAGTGGGAGACTGCACAGGTGAGCTGGCTAGCACGTCTGTCTGTTTTCCCTTTTACTCGTCTATCTCTCCACCTTTCTCTCGCCCCCACCCCCCCATTATTTTCCTTTTCCTTACCTCATTTTGCTTCCAGGGAGCAAACCTATACCCCTACTGCATGTACAGATTGTAAGGCAGTGGGAAGTGGGTTCCAGGAGGCCCACACACCTGTCAGTGGATATTGGAATCTGCAGATAGATTCTGAATCACAGCTCCCCCCTCAGTTAAATCTCAAAACTGCAAAAAGTCCAGCCCCCAACTCACAGTCCAGCTTCAGAATTGAACAAAGCCAGAGGATCCACATAAAGAAGAATAGGAGATTGAGCAAACAGAAGTAAAAGCTACCCCCACATCACTCAACAACAGAATTAAAGAAGAGTTAAAAAAAAAAAAAAGGCAGGGGGAATCTACACAAACGAAGAAAAACCAAAAGAATATGGGCCTTGCACAGACTCCTGGGACGTCAGACACTGAGAATACAGACTTCAGGACACAAACAACAAAGAGCCCCCAGAATGACTGGTCTCAAACCACAAAACCAGGTATCAAAACATTAATAGAGAGAATAAATAAAATTAAGGAGAGACAAAAGGAAAGAATGAAGGAGTTGATAACCGACATAACAGCAGTAAAGAATACAGTGAATAAAATAAATAACAAACTGATAAGCATGGAAAGCATAACTAGCCAAGCAGAAGAATCTCAGAGCATGAACACCAAAATACGGAACTAATCCAAACTGTCAAAAACATAGAAAAGAAGTTTAAAAAGACAGAACAAAACCTTCAAGAGATGAGTGATTATTTCAAGAGGTCGAACCTAAGAGTAACTGGACTTCTTGAGGCAGAGAGACACAGACCACCCTGGAACAAATATTCCATGAAATTTTTCCAAGAAAACTTCCCTCATCTCATCAGTGACACAACCATTCAAACACAAGAGATTCAGAGAATCCCTGCAAGACAACAAATGAGAAGACCAACTCCTAGACAAATAGTAATTCACCTACACAAAGTAGGTATAAAATTAAAAATCCTAAAGCAAGAGAAAAAGGTCAGACTACCTACCAGGGAAGACCAATTAAAATAGCAGCAGACTTATCCACAGAAACATTTTAGGCTAGGAGAGCTTGGAGCTCAATCTTCAAGTTCTCAAAGATAAACCATTTCAATCAAGAATTACCTACCCAGCTAAGCTAAGCTTCATCCATGATGGAAAATTAAAAGCTTTCCCAGACATTCAATCCCTAAGAGCTTATGCTGCCTCCAACCAGTTCTACAAGAAACACGTAAGAAAGTATTAAGCACAGAAGAAAGGAAAAAAAGGATGACAACACCCTTCCCAATAATGCAGGAAAAAGATTGGAAACACACATGAATCAAATCCCAAAATCAAAAGAAAGGCAACAAACAGCAACAACAACAAAAAACTCTACCAGAACCTTATAACAGGGATAAACTCTCACATGTCAACAATTAGCCTGAATGTGAAGCTGAAAAGCCACAGAATGGCAAAATGGATAAAATATCATGAGGCAACAATAAATTATCTCCAAGAAACTCATCTCACCAGAAAGGATACTCACAGACTCAAAGTAAGAGGATGGGAAACAAAATTTCAGGCAAACAGAACACAAAAGAAAGCAGGAGTTGCAATCTTAATATCTGACAAAATACCCTTTAAGTTATCAAAAATCAAAAAAGATACAGAAGGTCACTACGTAATGATACAAGGTTCAATCCACAACAAGAAATATCCATCCTAAACATATATGCACCCAACATAGGAGCACCCACTTTCATAAAACAGCTTCCAAGTAAACTTAAAAAACACATTGACTCTAATACTATCATAGCTAGGGACTTAAATATACCCCACTCACAACCCTAGACAGATCATCAAGACAAAAAATCAAAAAGGAGATCCGGAATCTCAATGTGATACTTGACCAAATGGACTTAACTGACACCCTACAGAACACTTCACCCAACTACCATGGAATATACATTCTACTCATCACCATGTGGAACGTACTCTAAGATCAACCACATCCTCAGTCATAAATCAAGCATAAACACATTTCATAAGATTGAAATTTTGCCATGCACTGTCTCAGATCACAGTCGAATAAAAATAAATATCAACACCAACAAAGTTCCCCCAAAACCCACAAAAAAGGGACACGAAACAGTATGATGCTAAGCAACTCCTGGGTCAACCTGGAAATCAAAACAGAGATTAAAAGATACCTGGAAACAAATGAAAATGAAGAAACATCTTACCAAAACCTCTGGGATGCCATGAAAACAGTACTAAGAGGGGAATTCATATCTCTATGAATACACATGAAGAAAATGGAAATATCACAAGTTAACAGCCTAACAAATCACCTAAGGGAGCTGGAAAAGTAAGACCACCAAACCCTAACTTCAGCAGGAGAATCCAGGCCACCAAAATAAAAACCCAAATTTGGGACACAGAAGACAAAAAAAAAAAAAAAATCAACAAAACAAAAAGCTGGTTCTTTGAAAGAATAAACGAGATTGATGGTCTCCTAGCTAGACTGACCAAGAAAGAGAGAGAAAAAGCCCAAATAAATACAATCAGAAATGCAAAAGATAAAGTCACAACTGACACTGAAGAAATACAAAAGATTATCAGAGACTACTATGTACACTTATAGGAGAAAAAACTCAAAAACCTAAAGGAAGTAAGGACTTTCTGACATCACACAACCTCCCCAAGTTAAAACAAGAAATCGAGACCCTACATAGACCAATAACAATCCAGGAAATTGACTATGCCGTAAGAAAACTAGCTACAAAAAAAAGTCCTGGACCAGATGGCTTTCCAGCAGTATTCTACAAAACATACAAGGAAAAACTGATGATATCAATCCTACTAAAAGTATTCCAGGCAACTGAGAAAGATGGAACTCTCCCCAAATCATTTTACGAAACTAACATCACATTGATACCAAAACCAGGTAAAGTTCCAACAAAGAAAGAGAACTACAGGCCAATATCCTTGATGAACATAGATGCTAAAATTCTCAAGATCCTAGCAAATCAGATTGAACAACACATCTCAAAAATCATCCACCATGAGCCGGGCTCGGTGGCTCAGCCTGTAATCCTGTGCCTTTGGGAGGCTGAGGTGAGTGGATTGACTGAGCCCGCGGGTTCGAGACCCACCTGGGCAGCGAGACCTCATCTCTACAATAAATCAAAAAAATTTAACCGGGCGTGGTAGTGCATGCCTGTAGTTCCGGCTACTTGGAAGGCTGAGGCGGAAGGATCACCAGAGCCCAGCAGGTCGAGGCTGCAGTAGCCAGGAGCAACCAGTGCACTCCAGTCTGGGCGACAGAGTGAGACTCCAACTCAAAAAAAAAAAAAAAAAAATCATCCACCATGACCAAGAAGGCTTCATCCCCAGGATGCAGGGCTGGTTCAACATTCATAAGACCATAAACATAATTAAATACATCAACAGATGTGAAAACAGAAACCACATGATTATATAATTAGACACAGAAAAAGCTTTTGACATAATCCAGCACCCCTTCTTGATAAAAACTCTTGAACTTCTAGGCATAGATGGAACATACCTCAAAATTGTGAGTCATCTACGAGAAACCACAGCCAGCATACTGCTAAACAAACAGAAATT